ACGCATAATAATCAATCTTACAATCAGAGGTGATTGCCGCCACGACTTTTTCGCGCGGCAAAGCGGCACACTTGCGCGGCAATTGTCTCGGCAGGGTGCAGAACCTCATGAGAGTTTATTTACGTTTTTTACAGCTCAAATGAATCCGAAAATGTAACCGTATTCCGGAAATCTCTGCATTTCCCATTCAATACCAGCCAATATTAGGTCCTACAAGAAAGGAGGTGGAAAGTCGTCCCTCGATTTATCACTACATTAACTTTACATTGACTGTCTGGTCTCAGCTCTAAAGATGCTGCTCGTCGTGTTTGCGTCCCAATCGAATGGCCAATATCGGACCAAAATGCTAAGAAATTCTGAATATTTCAAAGGGTACGGCACGGTTCTTTCTACTTGAGATACTTCCGATCCATAGTAATTTCCCATAGGCTCTCGAATGGGCATTAAATGGAAGTGTTAGATTTTAAAATTATAAAAAAACCTAATGGCTTGTAGGATTTTTGTGGATTCCAGGGAATAATGAAAGAAATGGAAAAAATTCACATTAGCTGTTATTGCGTGAGATTTCAAGCCATTGAATGAGCCTCTTATCGTTTTCGCTCTCATTCTGTCGCCCACTTGAGCGCTATGTGTCCTTTCTCATAAGGGCATGTAGCGAATTGTTCAGCTCCCCCCAAATGGGAGCATATGTACATAGAGGGGAACTGGATAACCATGCTTCTGCCTGAGCTGCAAAATGGATTGTGTTTTCGATGTGAATGAATGAATTACAATCTCATCTGAAGTGAGATCTCGAAAGGGACATTCTTAAGCTCGCTGTGACAGTAATGCTCAATAGGAACTGGAATAGCGCGGAAGACAAGAAGAGGCATTGCTTTGAACTTCTCATCAAATTATTATTATTATTATTACTGATGTACTCTTGAATATCTGACAAAAGTTAGCGCTGGAGCATTATTCTGCCGCCATATTCACAGTAGTCGAGGTTTTTTCTGGGATTTTATGGGGATTCCATGGACTCTTGAACAAAATGATGCCGTCTAAGAGTATATGCTAACCTTTGCGGCTATCTCTTTCATATTTATTTAACCAAATAATGATGAGCTGTCTACCAAATTCGACAGTACTTCTTTACGGGTTTGGATCCGGTCACTCCACTGCTGTAACTTCCTGGAACATGGGTCAAGCATTGGCTGTGAGGTCTGTGCACACCTCGTTCGGACAGCCTGAAGCAAGTCGAAGACGAGCCTCGATTTGATTGACCGGCAGCAATATCATGGTAGCTCCTGACATGTGAATGAAATTGGGTGGTGTCCTTCTGTAGTGTTTCTATGGAATGTCTAGGAAATCCAGGGGAAATTCGGTTTAATGCTATGTCCTTTATGGTTGGAATAAATGACAGAGCCAATTCAGACAACATTTTGAAGACTGATTTCTTCGATTCTCCTTCGCCTAGTCTATGCATTGAACCTTTTCTTCTAGCTAAAAAGGCCCTTCTCCCACCCCTCTTAATACCACGGAGGATTACTCGGCCTCAAATGTTGGCATCTATTTTTAAGACTTCGAGGATGGGGATTACGAGTACTTGCGCTCCAGAGATTCAAAACTATCGAGAATGAACTTTCGATGTGGGGATTTACTAATCGTTTGGGAGCCACTTCACTCCCGGAAAGGCATCTAGATACAAGCATTTGCGATATTATCGCTACAATGATCTCTTAGGATAGGATTGGATAATCTAAAGTAAAGACCTGGGTCAGAAATCTGGGGAAACCCTTTACAACTCTGAGAGCATACCCTGAGGCAGCGATAAAAGTATGTGGCAAACGATGACGGGAAGTTTTGAGAACTGCAGCTGTAAAAGTAACACTATGTATGTATATGACAGTAATTGTTGGTATCATTGGCTGTAATGTGCTTCCGCAACTATGAGCTCATTCCAACAGTCAGTTATTTGCGTCCTTCAGACACTTTCTCTAGAACCGCAAGAGAAGAGGGGCCCAGTCTTCTTCGGTGCTGCACTCCCTCACTACCAGTATGCTCCTGTCGTGGATCACACCTTCAACGTTGTTTAAGTTTTCATATTTTTCATAAGGCTGTTTAGCAAAATGCACTTCGATGCTTGTTGTTTTTTCGCTAAGAAGGTCTCTGAAAGGTCNCCTATTGATGCGAAGGAGCGGCACTCAGCTAGTTGGAGGGACACTGTAGTCGTCTATTGATCCCTACCTGTACCGCCATTATGGTCAGAAAAACTATGTGTTTAGTGTGATTATGACCAAAAGGGTGTTTGTTTCAGAGTTGCGAGGAAGTGCTGCGACTTGGCGTTCGTACAGGACATCCTCGATTCTTCAATCAGGTATAACCAGCTTATATTTGGCAAATGAAGATACTAAGCAGAGTTTATCGGAAGTACTTAGAATGTCTTCTTTCCAACTTTCATCCTTCCGAGGTTTCATAAGGCTGAGGACTGTACGGGGAGCATATGGAGACACACATCGAGTGTTTTTCACTGTATTTACGGTCCACCAAGCGCCTATCCGGGGCCTATGGTGTCGGCAAGTAATGTCTTTGGTACCTCTTTCGTAGTTACCCATTCACGGATCCAACTGGTGTTGTTACCACCTTATGCCCTTCAAATCGTTCGCCATGAAGCTATAGCTATAGTCGCATTACTTACTTTCAAGTGTGGATGTTTAAGGAAAGGATTCAGCCTTCAGATTTACTTTCCAGATCTCATGCGGCTTGGATCTGGTCTCAATGGCCGGCGAATGGCTCACCGCTACCGCCAATACGAACATGTAGGCTTTTAGCTCAGAAACCAGTCAATAGTCAGATAATCGTAGCATTTTTGGGTTCCAGGTTCACTTATGAAATCGCTCCGGTGTTTATTCTCATGGAGAAGGCTGTGATGAAACGAATGTGGGAAGCAATCGGCTGGGACGTTGAACAGGCGGACGGCATTTTCGCCCCAGGTAAGCTCTACTGTTCCATCCTAAGACCAAGATCGCTAATCGATACTAGTCAATAAATCGATTTAGGTGGAGCAATAGCGAATCTGTACGCTGTGAGTACGGCAAGACATGCATTATATCCGCGCAGTAAATATGTAGGGCTGAAGGATGTGCCGACATTATGCATTTTCACCAGTGAAGACGTCAGTTCCCAACTTCGTAGTCATGCATTAACTCTCCTTGAGAGAACACCTTTTCAGAGCCACTATTCGATCAAGAGCGCAGCTGCAGTATGTGGGATTGGCAGTGATTTTTGCTTCAACATCCCTACCGATAACTCTGGAAAGATGATCCCTGAGGCGTTAGAGCAGAAAATCGTCGAAAGCAAGAAGGATGGTTAGTTTTACTAGTTGTCTAGGGTACATAGGAATCAATAAGTCGATTGCAAAATCAATAATCGGCTTTGAGCACTGTCAAAGTTCGCTTTTTTGCAGTACTCCATGCTTTCCAGATCGTGTTCGGGTGCTGAAGTGTCACTAATCCCAATCAATAAATCAATAAAATGAACTGCTTAGGATTGACACCGATGTTTGTGTGCTGTACAGCCGGTACGACGGTCTACGGTGCGTGGGACCCCATTGATAAGATTGCTGATATCTGTGATCGGCACAAAATCTGGTTACATGTCGACGTGAGTTTATCCCTCAACTGACTGTAGCTTTACCGTAATTGACAGAATCACCTCAGGCAGCATGGGGCGGTGGAATTCTGTTGTCACCGGAGCATCGCTACAAACTCGCAGGTATTGAACGAGCCAACAGTGTCACATGGAATCCGCACAAGCTGATGGGCTCGTTGCTGCAGTGCTCGGCCTGTCTGTTCAGGCAGGATGTGAGTTTGTTGAAGTGCCTTATAAAATACCATGGAACTCGGTTCCTCGGAGTTTAACCTCATACTTACGCTAGATAAGCGAGTACATAATCACTAAAGTCGTAATGAAAGGACAACATCAGGTGTCGATGACTTTTCTCTATAGTTGCTAGTGATAAAATTGAAGACACATTTACGATAAAAATGATTTCTGAGATTTTCCCTTCGAATAGACCTATGTATAACCCTCAAGGATAGTACAAGGTACGCTGTCGGGTCCAAAAACGATCTAGATAGGGCGTGGTAAAGCCGCGAAACTGTGCACACCTGAGTTCTCACAGCGCCATCCGCACCTAGACGCACACGTTGCACACAGGCAACTTACTATAGCCAGCTCGTCGTCCAAACTCGTCTAAATACTGGCGGAGTAGCTGGTCAGCAAGGTTTTGTATAAGGTGGCAATAAATTTCTTTCAGTTAGAGGTAGCAAAGCAGTTCGAACAGGATGTTTTGCGTAGATGAACCTTTAGGAATTCATTGAGCGTAAACAAATTGAATAAGAAGAAGTCTTGAGGTCGGATCTATGCGATATCGTGGACATGTGCATCCTTTTGGACCGTACAACATGCAGCATTTAAATTTTGTAAGTCATTCCATACGGGATCCACCTGCATGGGTGTATCTGCAAACATAATTTAAGATTTCATCTGATTACTGCTTGATGCTTTATCTGATTTAGCTAATGAAACTATTCTAGACATCTTTCTTCAAATCTTATAATGTCTCAACAGCTTGTTCCCACATAACGTCCCAGACCGCGCGTGCTTCGCATGGCTACATTTTTCGTCAAACTTCAACATCAGTAGAAAAAGGGTATTGGCCGATGCCAAAGCCATAAAAGTAATATCAAGTAATAACTGGAGAGTTTTGGTCATGTCGTGTCTATGCGATGAGGTACATACACTGCGCTACATTTCAAAGCCTTTGTGGTTTGATGATGCTCCTGTTACTAACTAACTTATTGCCTTAAAGCCTTGCCGTTGATCGATGCCTTCTGAGATGTTGCCTCAGACGTGACGCAGGCGACTCTTCAAGAGCAGGGCCGTCAGCGCAATATCTGCACAGCATTGAACGCGCGCTACCGTCTCTTCGCGTTCAAATCGCGCGCCAGCTGCGCGTTGGACTCGTCACGCTGATTTTAGCGTCAAGTGTATTCCTATTGTCTCAACTTTTAGCGTGTCACTTATCGCCCGTCAGTCGTTCGACTGCTCGCCATCGTCTGTCGTCTCGCATGCTCATCGTCGTTCACCGTCAAATCTTCAACTTCTCGTTCGCATGGTCAGATCGTCGTCGCAGCTGCTATATGACCTGTTGCCATATGAAGGGTGGATCTCCGAGGCGTGATGGGATGGAATGATGGTTGGCGAGGCTGTCACCCGAGCAGGTTCCGCCCTGGAATCGCGGAATCGCGCCAAATAGTCATCAACGACGAAACTCCAAGGCGCTAAGGCTCACGGTCCTGTAGTAACCTACATACATGGGCACCGCGAAGTACCGCACCTCGAGGCAAGGAGCGCCGACGACCCTTGGTGACGCAGGTTCTTAGCCGTTGGTATTTCATAACTTTGCTTTCCATTGTAGACTAAAGATCAAACCTATCATTCCTTTATATTCTGTTGTGTAGTAATATTGGTGTTATTCACGCATTCCTTCAAACAGTGTCATTTTGTGCGTACTATGAATTTAGGACTGAAAGAATAGTTTTGACCTATTAATTATACCACACGTACATGCGCAACGGCATGACATAGTGTATAGGGTCGTTCTGTAAGGTCGCAGGAACAAAGGGAGGGTAGAGCGGAGTACTATGCATAGTCGAACATCACAGTATCAGAAGACTATTGCACGGGCTGCATCCGCAGTGGGTTAGGCGCAGGAACAACACGGGTGGGATCATGTAATCGTAATGGCAGACCGTGTGTGTGCAGTCAGCCGGACCCCTAACTGTACAGCAAGTCGCGACATGGCGCCACGTCGCGACATCCTGTATTCGACTTCCGTTCGAAATCGTGGTGGCGTTTTGAATGCATACGTGGCATATGCAATGACTTGCGATGTCCAGCCACCATTACAAGTCACGCGACAGTCATTAATTATTACATTACTGAGTTTATTGTTATCTTGAATAGTAATTATTGACTTTTTGTGAACCTTTTACTGTTTCTATAATTTCTCTATTCTGGTGTATCATACTTTATTCAATGAACAAGGTCAATCACGGAGCGTATATGTTTCCAACCAGCTTTGCTTTCCTATCGAAGTCTTTCCAATAAGGTATCGTTGATTAAGCATGCTTTCGCTGTGACTTATGATTGATTGCGCTCTTTTTAAGTTCCACTTTCCTTTTCTTTTCGGGCTTTTTTTTGAACTACTTTGAAAGTCCACACGCTTGTAGCTATGCTGAAACCTCAGCGCTCTTGCAAGCGTAGTGTCCCATCATCCTCACGTTAGGAAAGTTGGGTAGGCTGAGAAAAGTCAGTACATGGGAACTGTTTTTTTTNTTTTTTTTCAAGCTCTTCAAGCATCTTTCGTGATACTTGTTTAAGCTCAAATTTTCAGGGTCTACTCTTCCAATGCAATCAAATGTCAGCCGATTACCTCTTCATGCAGGATAAACCGTACGATGTTAGTTACGATACCGGTGATAAAGCTATTCAGTGTGGACGGCATAATGATGTATTCAAGTTATGGTTGATGTGGAAGAGTAAGGTTTGTGATTGTTATCTTTTCTAATCTCATTCCGAGGCGGTTTTGGATAGTTCAATCGCTTCAGTAGGTCCAGGTTTTAAACAAACCGTCGTCTTCAAGGACCTAGGAGTAGTTCATTACTTCTTGTTTCGGGATACCCTGCTGTTTGAAGTCCCAACCAAACTCTTACCCGATTAATCGCCTGGACGCATTAGGCCAGTTCCGTGAACTCTCAGAAACTCGAGTGGTTAAAGGTTCCAGCCAAGTAACCAATCTTCTGCAGTACCATTAGTACTGAATTCGCAAGTCTGCATCCACCAAGATGGCAAGATCGGTGCTAAAAAGGTATCGGAAACGTCAAATATTCTCGCGGAAATCCAAAGCTGAACAAGCGAAATGAAGGCATGGCCTAAAAAGCGAGCGTTCGCTGTTCATCCCCTTTTGTGGGCTTTGAGATCATCGCATAATTAGTTGTAGCTATATATATAGTTATAGCTGAAAAGCTGCAAGTTACTTCCAGGTCCTTGAATACAGATTGACAAAGTAGCAGGTGAACAATATCCCTGCTCGACTGCGATTCCGGATTCACCTGACTTTATACCTGTAGGAAGGTGGACGTGAAAAATTCTTTTTTCAGGGAATGGAAGGCTACAGACAGCAGATTAACAGACTAATGGATTTGGCGGCGTATTTCACTCAGAGAATTCGTGAAACCGAGGGATACGAACTCGTTGTTGATCCGGTAAGCAAACACTTTCCTTGATACTGATTTAATCGTATCGCTCCCGGAAACACAGTACACAGTACACAAGATACTGAGCTTTCCCAATGTATTTTCTTGCAGCCGGAATTTCTGAATATTTGCTTCTGGTACGTCCCAAGCAATCTACGTGGACTTGATCCAGCGGAAAAGAAGGCTCGACTGGAAAAGGTACATTATCTCAGAAAACACTCCATTTCAATAACATTGAAAATGATGGTATAGCAGTGACAGAAGGAAGCATCGTGGGAAAGGAGACATACGAGGAGTTNCCTGCAAAGAAGGGATTCGATCCTGCGATGGCTTATTTTTTGAACATTTCCCTTACCGTTCCCTTACCTGGTTCACACATCCTGAAATTCCGATTTCCCTGGTCGGGCGTAGAACTGATTCCGTGAAGATTGATCTACTTACTTGATTCCGTCTAGCCGTTCAACTAGTTACTTCAAAACGATCAAATGCCGTTTCAGATTGCTCCCAAGATCAAAGCAAAAATGATGGAACGTGGTACGACGATGGTCGGTTACCAGCCAGACAAACAGCGACCAAACTTCTTCCGAATGATCATTTCCAGTCAAGCAATTACACGAGACGATCTTGACTTTCTCATTCAAGAAATTATTGATATTGGCGAATCACTTTAAAAATTCGGTCGTGTGTCTCAGAATGATAATTGTAATAGGCTGGTGCATAATTATTGCGGATGTTTTTCGCAGCTTCTTTTCTGTCGATACAATTTGAGTGTTGAATTCGGGATTTTATAGAAATAATCTTCTTGCTTTCTTTAACAGAAATATCATCTTCATAAATGCCACATTATGCTCTATTACTTCGAGAAAGGTTGGAAGGTGGAACAGTCATAAATGATCTCAACGAACTTCTCGGCGATAGAACAGCCAGTCAAAGCCGAATAAAGAATGGAATCTGCTTCTATGGTCGCTCTTGTCTCCAAAAGAAACTCCTATAGATTATCACGCCAATCGTCCGTTGAAAAATTGGCTAGCAAACAGAACTTCCGACGAAATGGATGACTTGATGGCAGACGTCAAGGAGTGAATCCTCAGGAATCGAAACTTCTCCGCCTGTAGAATCCGACTACCCAGAAAATGAAAAACAGTGCTTGACGTAGATGGTTAATATGTTCCAGAGTAATTATTTGAACATGTACAAAATTCGCAATAATTATGCATCAACCCAAAGAATAGTAATTATTTCAGTCACGAATAGTAGTTGTTGCGTAGTTATTCTCCGAACAGTGGATGCTTCTATATCGATTGCATTCCGTTTGCAGTGAAATTATTTGTACTGCTGAAATAGTAGATATTTATTGTAAAAACGCCCTTCAAAGTATTCCATCGTCGTGGAGGTCGTTGCTTTGATGATTTCCATTTTTACGTAGATCATCTGACTGCAATGAAGATTATTATGTAATTAGTTTTCAGCAAAAGGTCATGGTAATGATTGGATTCTGCTTCACGATAAGCGGTTGTATACTTATTTCCATAAAAAATCTAAATGAAAAAGGGGTGTGGTCTTCTGATCGAGGCTCATTTCGTCTGATTTTGTTGACAAGCTTCATAGTTTGGTAGCTTCATAGTAAACTTTCAGGGGGCAACACTTTAAATTATCAGTGATAACGAAGAAATGCCATTGGTGCTATCCAGTAATGGAGTGATTTGTGAAAATTGTTGACGTAAATCCCTGACATTTCTTGATTTCAAATAAGAGTCCTAGTTTCTAAAAACGGATATAGAAGAGCAGATATTTAAGGTAAGCGAGCGTGCAGTCGCTAATGGTAAGATCATCTTGCTCCAGCACCTCTTGAGTAATAATAACTGATCTTTAAAACGGAAATCTAACATGAGCCATTGGAAGGAACAGTAAAGATGATAAAATACACATAAATAGGTGAAATACAAGTTAGACAAGAGGTTGGAACTCCTATAGACAGGAGAGGGCGGAGGTCGGCTGCAGTCCTCCCTCGGTCCGTGAGCCGGTGCACTCCTCAAGCTTCCTCATCGCCGCTTAGCCACGCCCTGAAAGAAGAAGCTGAGTCATCAGGGGAACATTCCTAGAATCCACATATGCTCATGTCCCAATAAGCACCTGGTCGCACCTTGATGTTTTCTTTCTGTCGCATCTTCGATGAATTTCTCTGAACTGATGATATTGGAGCGAAAACTTGCGACATCATTCATTTTTCACCGACTGTGTGGTGAAAATGTCACGATTACGAAACCTGTCCGTGCGGCTATCGTATCCATCAACCGTAAGCTCGTGCGTTCAAGATCGGTTTCCTAGGAAATTTGGTCCTCTCCTTCTTGGTTATAATTGGGTTACTCAGTTGTCGTAAGACATTGCAGCCTTTTTTGGCTAACTATTCGTAATTGTTGCTTTCTCCAGTGTCGCACGAAACGAAAGTCTCTCAACAAACTGCCTGTCCATGAAGGATCAAGGGTTGAAGTTGGGCTAGTGTGCAGCGTGTTGCCAAAAATAAATAAATAAACAATTACCATGTCGTGAATGCTATCCTTGCTTCACCCTTTTAAGACCAGTTCCTCTCATTATATTTCTCACTTCCTCCCTTCTCACCCCTTTGCTCCATGATACATACGAGCTTTTACGTGGAGGCGGCTTAGAAGTTAGCTCTAGTCCTCTAGTCCTAGGGCTACTGTAAAAAATGTCCCACACAGTGATGGAAATCAGCATGAAAGCTACCATTTTGAACCAGCTGGGGCAAGAAAATCTATGGTTTATGTGGTGAAAGACACTTATAAGCTATCAACGTGATGAGACGGCCAGCCGATAGTCGGCAATAAACAAGCTGCAACCCAAGCAAAAAAAAACACCAGAAGATATTGCCATGATTATGAAAACAAAGTGGAAATAGCGGGATTCGAGTTTCTACGTTTTCACTAACTGTTCTTTTCACCTGTCTGCCTGTCTGGTTCACATCCTCCACCCCTGCGGAACGCCAGCATCCTTCCTGAACATTTGCATGCTTCAAGCAGCAAGCAAGCCTTCAATTTCATTTGAGGCATGGGTAAATGGTGAGGGTGTGGGGATAGAACAGCATAGGATTGTGCAATGGGTAAAGCGTGGTGTTCGTGAAGCATAATGTGAGGTGGAATACCTTCATGAACAACAGTTTTACTGCCGATTTCAGTACTTGTGTTTGCTGTAGACCTCACCAGAAGCTCTAAGAGCGGATCAACCGATTGGAAGAAATTTCTTTGGCTTTTTGCTTTGGCATGATAGAAGAAGGCTTAGAGTGTTACGCTACCTTCGAGCCTTCTCCTTCAGTTGCGAGAACCGACTGTAGACCAGAGTCTTCTGAGGGTGGTCGCCGCCGTACTGGTGGCATACCAGTGGTGTTAGCGAACGGGAGGAGTATAGAGCGTACCACCAAACCCATTACTGTACGTATAGTGCAAAGTACAACCGCACAGTCAGTACTGGAAAAATCAAAGGTAACGGACCAAGAATTGAAAGATTGATGAAAAGGAACTTTTCGAGAAGATCTAAGATAAGGATGGAGTTTTTTGGCGATAAAGAATAGCGCTTATGGGATGCGACCCTCGCCAGAATTCAATTCAGAATCGTAGCGACCTATGACCGAGTACGTGGCCCATGTAGATTCTCGCTGTGGTCAGTCGATGCACAAAATGAGTTTCTATCCTCTCAGATACCAGAACCGATTCCGAATGGATGGAAGGCTTGGTTAGCTTATGCATAAGTTGATATAGGGCTCGATCCCCATACCACTTGTGTTTGTGCTTATTTGCCACTGCACACATCTCTTCCTCGAGCATTTATTTTTCGATAGTAAAGTTCCCTTGGATGATGTATTCCTCGTTTTTTTCGTTTTGCTTGAAAATATGCAGATAAAAGTGATGCAAGCGCCGTTCTCGAGGGTGATGGAGCTGAACCGGTTCTCAGAGGCGAGACCTTAGCCGATCTTTATGTTTTGGTGTAAGCGATATGGCGTTCTACGAGATGTTCCAATTTCGTTCCACGGCATTCTGTGAAATTCAAGCTTTTAGTTCTCGCTTCAGCTTTTCTCGCTCTGTTTAGCCTCTACTTACTAGGATATACAGTTCAAGCCTTTTTTAGATCATAACGCTGCTGAGGTGATCTAACTCTTTGAAGTAAGCCACAAATTTTTACCTTAACAGTTGATGTAGGCTCGAAAACGTGTCACAAATCAAATCTGGTTGATCAGCCCCACACAGTTCGTCGACTCATTGTTTTTTGATTGTACGATAGTTCCGATATCAGCAGCTTCTCCTACTGCGCCTCTGCTTTACTTCTTAACGACACTTCCAATAGCATATGGACATCTCGAGACCTATCCCTACGTGTTGCCTCAAAAAACTGTCCCGGTATGGAGCCCTTCCTTCCACGTGGACGATAT